GTCGCACTAAAAGAAATTCGCCTCAAACCTGTTTGAAAGCCAAAGCTCACATGCTAGTAAGGTGATTGAATCTCATTCTCTATGGCGATAGACTCTCGTGTTTCGTAAAAAGAAGAGATTCTTCCTGAAGTGAAGGAACACGACCTTAGTCGTATCAATCTACGTACATGTGGTTGCATGCAAATTGCTCCGCTCTTCTGAATTGTCTTGACCCTTCCCCTTCATTGCACATTTGCCCCTTGCACACCTACCTGATCTCCAGAGCCCTTATTCCTCTTCCGTTCTGATTGTGAGCTCCTAGAAGGTCAGTGATGGTGGAGGAAAATTAGGCGGATTGAGCCTCACATGTAGTAGTTCTCTGGAACCTTGCAGTGCAAAAACAGCAGTAATGTCTCTTAAAGCTACAGTATTGATATCGTCTCCAACCTTCCGACTTTTCAAGCGTCTAAGTAGGAAACAATTGTTGAGTTTTTAGTGAGCCTTAGTTCCTATTAAACTGTTGATTATCACATCCGCGGGGCAAAAAAAAGAGTCACTTCTTTCCACATTCAAAACTGATTTAAATACACGTTGCATACCAAACCAAATGAGCTCAACTGTATATCAAAGCCTATTCTATCAAAAGTTACACACAGCCTTCTACACCGACGACATCAGAAGATTTTCCCACGGAAACATGGTTCACGGTACGAGCTCAACGAGGTCGTCGAGGTACCATAGACCATTACGACGTCCCTGAAACGCTGGTCAAAAGCGGTCTTGCACAGTCACAGCTAGTGTCTCTAGAAGCTATTCACCGATTGAAGAAATTATGTAGCAGCTTCAGGCCGGAGCGATTACGGTAAGCCTCGTTGAGCTCGACGGTGACGGCAGATGACGTCATATTCTGAAGACGGTGGGGGCAGTGAAGGAGGGCCTGCTTCTGCTTTTGGGGGACACCTAAGGAATATTCTGCCGTAAAACATTCATCAACAACGGCATCCTGTGCGACGAAAAATTTGAGCCAAGGCAAAGTAACTCTTTTTTTGCCCCCTCCCCTCTGTATATTGGTTTTCAATGAGATTTAGGTACACTCCTGAAGTGAATCTTTATGATTGATTTTGCAGCTAAACATGGGTGTACCATTTTATGGCCGATACTGGCATAATGTTGGAGATGCTGTTGATCCCAGCGACGATATGTGGAGAACCGCAACCGCGAGCGATGGGCAAACTAAGTTTGAGGTGTGCGATTTACTGAGAGGTTTATGAATTATCTGAGCTGTAAATGATCTGAATATTTTTTCTGAGTAAAGTAACTACTTCTTTATTTGATATTCGACTCCATTACGTATGGAGCGATCGTGGCTACCGTGTGAGAAACGCCTTATTGGTTTTCACCCCACCGATAAATCATGTTCTAGGGAGGAGATGTGCAATGGCGGCATCTTCATAGTCGCTACAACGTCTCGATGGCAAGATTTCACCAAGGAGCTAAAAGCCCATATATTTGGATACCTGAAAAGAAGACATTTGTTGGGTTTGAGAATCCAGAAAGCCTCACTCACAAGGTAGCTTCAGGGGAGTCTTACTTCAAACCGTGCTGGTACTTTGAACGCTGGTTAGCCGTAGAATTTAATGACATTGAGAATGATAGCTACCGGTGTCCAAACAAAGCTGGAAGCGGATGGTAAGAAAAACGTCGCCTATTGGGTCTGAAAGTAGGGATGGTAGAGGGCTGGTCAAGAAAATCTCAGTGGCCAAGACAAGCCAGCTTTTAGGTATTGATCCCGAGCCGGTATCATACCAATAAATTTCCCCTCCTTGACAATGAATAGTCAAGAGAGGCTAAAAGATACGCAGGCTTAACATGGCTTGGTTTTTTAAAAAGACGAGTCGTGCGGACAGTTGAAGCGAGCTGGATCACGGCAGGTGGCACTGGCGAGCACTGGGGTTAGCTACGCGGCGATGGGCACGCTCTTCGCGCTTCCTACATCTTCCATGTCCCAATTATCGTAAGATCTGTTTTTGTTTATTGCGTTTGCTTTTATTTATTGCGTTTGCTTTGCTTCGTAAATTGTTGTGAGCCTAATTACTGAAAGCTATTGAGGCGACTACAGCACAGTACGAATGGGTTAATCTTGTTTTATTATGACAGTTTTGGTCGGAAGTGGTGTAGTGGCAAGTGGCACGCTCACCACGCGAGCGGTCCGGGGATCAAATCCTGGGTCGTGAGTCGCCCGGGCCAACCAAGCCTTCCATCCCTCCGGGGTCGGTTAATTGGTACCAGACTTGTCTGGGAGGATAAAAACACTTGACATCGGCTGGCCCCCGCAAGTCATTGTATAGGCCACATCGCATTCAAACGCCACTACGAATGTACAAATGGAAGTAGAATGCGTGCCGCATCCCAAAGTTGACCAACCCCTATTTTGGGTCGGGTCAAGTCGAGAGACAGACAAGTCTAGATCAATGCTTTATCCTTTTCATACTTTTATGACAGTTTTAGATCAACTACATCACAGAGCATGACCTCGGAGGCGTAATGATTTGGGCAATCGACTTTGACGACGACCAGCAAACAATGCTCAGTGTTATAAAGCAGGTGAACCTATGTTATAATAGCTATACTGCTGTAACGTGAGCCGAATAGTCACAGATGAAGACGGACACGCATGCAAAGCTCTAGCTGACTTTTGGTTATTGGCCTTAAGATTAACTACGGAATCCTCTAAAGTGCTAAAATCTTTTGCCGTAAATCATTTCTAGATCTACTATGTCTAATTGGCATCAATTCAATAAAAAGAAGATAGAAGGAATAACAGAAGCATGCTTCAATAAATTTATGTGAGTCTTTTAAGAGCGATCTGTGTCAACGAAGGCGGATAAAGAAAATGCATACAAAATGCTCACCAATAGACGAGCAGCGTTGGTGGACATACGACGATGGCGAGGTAAGCAAAGTCATTTTGTCGTGAGGCATAGTTTTCGTGTGTGTCGGTCGCACGCACGGAATTTCCAGTTGCAGTTCCATGACCTGCAGCCAGGCAAGCTCCTGCTATAAGCATCAACCATCTCAGTAGCTCTCAATTATTAATAATAACCGCTCTATCTGATACGTGAAAGGTACGCGATGTAAACCTTTCATCCTGCAAGTGTAGAGGCAGATGACACCGTGCAAGAGTTTTGATATTTTTTCAAAACCCTGTGCTGAATACGCTGCAGTAGCTGATACTGTTGTGAAAGTAGAATACTTGACTTCTTCACAATGTCTGACGCGGAATGGAATACCAACAAGTTGGAAGGTTCTGTAAACTATGCCAGCATCTTACGATGGTTCGAGGAATTCAAGAAAGGGAACTTTCTTTTGGAACATAAGGAATGAGTTTTGCGACCGATCGAAGTCGATGATTCGTGATTGCTTCAGTTCATTCGGGAGGATTTCTGGAGAAGCCCTCGGGATAATATGGTCACGTTCGAGGTCTCCTCTAGCACTGTCCTCAATGCCTTGGAAGTGTTGGCAAGGCACTTTGGCCTTCGCCTGCTTGCCTTTCCAAACACCTGACTGACGCAGTCTCTGAATAGCGTGTGGACTCTGCCATACAACTTCTTTCTCGTTTTCGTCGCTTCGATATTCGATATTATCACGATGGATGTGGATGCCGCCATTTGCCTTTAAGAACCCACCGACAAGAGGTCAACGGATGAGAACCGACTACGAGCCAGAAACAATACCGAAAGTCCCGATTCGGCTGAGAAGTGATGACCAGTGTACCATGGTCCTCCTGATCCTCCGAGGGTGTTGTTACTTTGAATGCTTTCGCATGCCGTGACAGCTGATTGTGAGATCTTCCACTCTCAACGGGAAGTTCGTTAGCGTGAACAGTAGAAAGTCTATGGGTTTATAGACATTGCTGCATTGCACAAAGCCAGGATCAGCCAGAGAAAATCAAAGAACTTGGCTGCGAGCTTTCCCAGCACCACCATATTCTCCTGATATAGGTTTCTAGACATCATTTATTTATTTGAAGCCTTAAACCAACACCTCATGAAAAATCCTTCAATGACTAAGAGGCTGTGAAACACAACCTCGATGCCTTTTTTGTCTAGACGCCCCTTTGCTCAACGCCCTGCATAACTCTCACCTGATATCGTGAGGACGCCGACGAGAACATCTCCAGCTGTCAAAAACAAAGTTTCACAAGAATGCTGGGTTGTGAACAAAACTTTCGCCCCAGGCGGGACTAGAACCCGCACCTCTCGCTTTCCGGGCAAGTGCGCTACCAGTTACGCTACCGGGGCACCATTTCATTCCAACTCAGCTTTTCATGGTATACTTACCATAGCTTGTCAGCACTCAC